GCAACAATTCTCATTAAAAGACGAATATTTGGGACTTGCAACAAGGAGAATGAAAATCCTATGCACTGAGATAGATTAACGTCCCCAGAAAGCATCACATGTCATAGATGTAACGTGGATTACCAAATAGTCTGTATGAAATTTAATTTTTAGTAAGTTTCTTATGTAATTTCTTGCACATGTACAAATTTAAATGCTTTTTGGTTTAATCTGAAAATAGAAGTTAAAACTCACTAAATTATCTACGATTGATCCAAATATTTAATAACTTATAAAGAAAAATTGATCAAAAAATTATAATGATCAGTAAAACGTAAACAATATTTAATAAAAATATTAAACACCAATGATTATGACAATTTCAAATAATTAAACATGTTCAACAAACAACAATCTAAATACTGTTCCTATAACATATAAAAATAAATTTCCATTCCATTATTCATTAGATTAAATTCTATGCCGAACCATAACATATTTTGGAAACCCGCTTGCCGAACCATTGTCAACTATTTATTACACTTTCCTTTAATGCACCACAAACAGTTTTGCTACCGTTTTGTATCTCATCGCGTAATAAGTTGTCAACACTTTTTCAATCAAAGTGTCTATCTGTAACTAAATGTCTGTTAATTTTCCCAGAGCAACTTTTATATTGTGTGATACAGTACCCCATAAATTGTTCAAACATTCTCGCATAAAAGATGAGTTCAAATTTATTCCCTCTGTTTAATTCCTATTTATAGTTACATAAAACAAGTCAAGATATTTTCTAATGTGAAGTAACAAAATTTTAATTACAAGACTAGAATACTGGATAAAACATAAACAATATTTAATATTTTAATAGATATTTAATAGCAATATTAGACAAAATTGTTTATAAAAATGTTAAAAAAAATGAACATATTCAACAAACATCAATTGAAATATATTATAATCTTAATTAAAAAAAATTAGAAATAATCGTTTCTTTACAGATTTAAAAAAAAAAAAAAAAAAAAAACTTGTGTAGCATTATTGATCAAATATGATCGAAGCCGAACTATATGCATGTTTCATAACCATATTGCTGAACCACAATTAAAAAATTAAAAAATATATTATGACATCATCATATCATCTTTGACTTTGATACTTGAAAAAATATTTATTGTCCTTTCTTTAAAAATGTATCAATAAGATTTTATTATTAGTAAATCACAGTGTTTAGTTATCATAATAACTCAACATCTTGCCGAACCATCATTAACTGCCTAACTAATATGTTGCACACTTAACAAAATATTTATTATGGTTTTTTTTTTAATATTGTACAGATAGTCTACTAACCCGTTTCATATTACCTTATCCAAATAATTATTAACACTTTTTCGATCGACACGTTTATTTATTACCAGTTTTATGTTCGTATTCCACCTCTTCGTATCCTATTCTCCTATAAATATTGCTCTGACATCAATCACTCATTTAACTTTCTTCAGATACTATACACTTTAATTTTTCATTTCTTCTCCACAACTTAATTCGAAAATGGCTGATAAAACATCACAACCAAAAGAATTTGCAACGAATACTAGCAACGGCCTCAACAACAATAATTCTCCACCGAGGCAACCAAAAGGTATGAATGGTCCACATCTTTTGTATCCTAAATTACAAAATGTCAAACAAAACGATGATACATATTTGCGGGAATATAAAAACCATTAATTTTTTTTTTTTTTGATATGTCGAGAGTTTATCTCATAATTATATTTACACATTCATGTTACTGTTTCCATATATTTATAAAATTTGATTGTATATTGTTTTTGTAATTGGTTTAGACATTTTTCAAGGAATGTTGGAATTGAGGGAGATTTTCAAAAAGGTTGAAATCAATCTGGATGATCTACATACTACTAGAGACAAATTCAGAGAAGTCATTGACTAGATGTTAGAAATCATGGAATCTGCCATGGATATTATTTATAACATAAACAAAAGAGAGTATGCATATGCACTAGAGGAACTGAACAACTAGAAGAAAAATAGAAAATAAACTCTACATCGTCCAAACCCACTTCACAGTATGAAAAAGCGATGTACTTATTTCTTTTATAATAAAAGAATTATTCTCTATATTCAATTTTATCTTGATTTTGGTGTTACTCATTAATTGATTGAAAATTGTTCACCATCATAACACGTTAGTTTTGATTTAATTTTTCCATCTTCACACATTGGATGAGTATTAATAATAATTATATAAATACATTACATAGGCATTCCAAAAATCTAACCATTTAAAATAAAAACGTATAAAGATGGAAGTTAGTATGTTTTCAAACCTTGGCTGGAGAGAATCCTATACTGTGAAAAAAAAATTTACCAATAAATGTCAAACCTGTAAATGAACTCAATATAAATTTTAAGTTTAAATAATTGATCTTCATAATATTAATTGATATTAATAATTATAAAGGTACAATTATTAATTTTATCTTAACACAACTCATTATATATATAGACGTTATATTTATTCTAAAACTTGTATAATTTAACAATTATTATCTCTTAATCTAATTACTTTATTCTGTTAGAATAAATTTGTTTACAACCTATTTAAAAAATATTAAATAAACATACCAGTGCAACGCGCAAGCCCCATGTCTAGTTGAACATAAAATAGGATTACTTCGAGGGAACTCAAAACCTCCTTTAAAAGAGACATTAATATTTTCTTTGATAATTCCCCCATTTTCTTTATTCCAATTGTCACTATTTATAATAAATACAATTGGTAAAAAATAAACATAAAATAAAATAAATCTAATCAACTAAGATAAAAATTATCCATATCCTAATCTAATTTATTTAAATTATTGAGATAAACTGAATATTAATTAACACATAAATCCATAAGAAAACTCCTAAAAAATATAAAAAAATACAATTTAATTAACATTTACCCATTATCGAAATGGGTATGTAACAATTTATTTTACATATCTAATGTAATAATACTCTTAAGGGGGCGTTTGGTTGGCGGTAATGTCAGATTATTGGGGTAATATCATCTTATATTACTTGATTACCACGTTTGGTTATCAAGTAATATAAGATTCCGGTAATCTTCAAATACCAATAGTAGTTACTATTGGTAATATTGGAGGTAATCTGATTACCTCCATTTTCTTAGGTATTATGAGATTATCAAGGTTATCTTTTTTTGTTACAATTTTATCCCTTATTAATGAAAATTTTGGACAATAATGCCCTCATTTTAAAATAAATTTACATTAATATCCTATTTCAATTTTACCCTTATTTAACTAAAATTTTGGACAATAATGTCCTTATATTTAAAACAATTTACAGACCACCACTGCCACTCAGCCACCACCACCACTGCCACCCAGCCACCACCGCTGACAGCGGCCAACCACCACGGACCGCCGTTGAAAACTCGCCGGAGTCCCTAAAAAAGAACGAGTTTCGGTGGGAGGCTTCGCTATGGCTGTTTTCGGCCATATCAGGCCAGATCTGGCCATTTTTTTTTGGCCGAAATATATTTAGCCGGAAATGGCCAGAATAGTTCTGGCCATTTCCAGCCAGATCTGGCCTGATATGGCCGTTTTTTACCACCAATATGGCCGGAAACGGCCACAACGAAGCCTCTTGGTCACGGTGAGTTGCTAATGGGGACTTTCAGAGACTTCCGGCGGTGGTCTGCGGTGGCGGCAGGAGGTGGGGTTGATTTTGTAATAAATTAAAGTTTTATATAAGCAGGGGTGTTTTAACTAAATCTGAAATATTGGGGGTTAAAAGAAATTATTCAAAAATTAATAATAAAAATAATATTATATTAATATTTGTAAAGGGGACAATTTAGTAATTTAAATAAAATACCCACCAATTTATTCTCCATAACCAACCATATTAATATAACATACCCACCAACTAACCAAACACATTTTCTTAAAGATTCCCAGTAATCTTCCAAGGTAATCTATCCTTCCAGTAATCTAACATTCCCAATAATCTAACATTCCTGAACCAAACGCCCCCTTATAGGTGTACACTTTATGAATAAATCAAATTAGATATGGTTAACATAAAATATTTTTGAAGTTACATATTTGTTTTTATTTTTATTTTTTATGATCATCAATTTGTTAATAAATTATCTAATATACTTATTTGCTTGGATTTAGTTTTATCGATGCAAAAAATAAATCAATTATATATTTGTTAAAAATGTAATTATAACAATTTAAAGGATAAATTAAATCGATTCTAACAACACCAATTTAAATTGATTTGTTGTGATTAAGCATATTAAGTGTATTAAATATTTAAATTTATACAATACACAAAGTTGAAAAACTATTACTTTACAAATTATAATGAAAGTTTAACAATAAACAATAACTACATCCATGAAAATTAGATATTTAAATGAATTTGAGTTGTTTTGGGTAAACTTAAGAATAAGATGAAGGGAAATAATTTTAGCTAGCATTAATTCTCTCTCTCTCTCTCTCTCTTTATATACTATATTATATAGTATATATATATATATATATATATATATATTATATATTATATATATATTATATATAATATATATATAATATAATATTATTCTTTTTTTAAGTAACCGGAGGTGTCCGAAAGATTACGTACACCTCAATTAGTTTTAAATATGAAGTTAATAGACAGGTAATATGAAGGTAAAAGGATATCGTATTTTACATTTAGTTAAAAATATTTTTAGAATTTTATTTATTGAAAGTAATTTTACAAGAAAGACCAAATCTAAAAGATTCATCAATTTGAAGTCAAACAAAGATGATATAAAGCTATTCAATTATAATAAAGAAAAGATATTTTATACAATGGGAGTTATCACATCAAAATTGTGACAAAAAATTTATAAGATTATGTTATAATTGTAGTGTGGTCTTTTAGTTATCACTGCCTTTCCCAACTGCCACTCGTAACAGAGGGACCTGTATGATTTGGAAGATCGCGAAGAAGAACAACTGTTTCTTGGTGAAACAGTTCGGCAATGGCACCGCCGGCGTTCGGTTCAGCAAGGAACCCAATGACCCTTACGATCTCAACTCCTACAAGCACTCAGGGTTGGCAAACCGCAAAACCGTGTCTATTCAGCCAGGTGGCAAAGATCTATCGGTGGTGCTAGCTACCACTAAGACCAAGAAGCAGAACAAGCCTGCTCGCTTGCTTCACAAATCCGTCATGAGGAAGGAGTTCCCTAGGATGGCCAAGAAGGCTGTTGTCAATCAGGTTGCTGATAACTACTACAGGCCCGATTTGAAGAAGGCAGCCCTTGCAAGGCTTAGCGCCGTTAACAGAAGCCTCAAGGTTGCTAAATCTAGTGTCAAAAAGAGAAACAGACCGGCTGTGAAGATCAGCGGTATGATTTTACGCACAGTGGGGGTGGGAGTGGGCTACGTTCTTGAGTTGGGCGGGGAACTTGTAGTTTTTCTATGAAAAAATCTCTCTTTTTCGAGAATAAAAGGGTTAAAATGGGTATTTTAACGCGCGCCGGGGGTCGGGAGTTATTTCCAAAACGAGATGGGGTTTACTATAATTAGGATATACCCGGGCGGTTTAGAGAAATTTTCCCATTTATTTATGCAAATTTTCCAAAGAATTATTGAAAGTATTTCTGTCGACACACTCACTCTTCTTCTCATTCTGAGTCCGGCGGCGCCGCCCCTCTCTTCGCTCTATCCATCTGAAGTTCCGGTGGGATTTTCTGCGGAAACAAAATGGGTCACTTGAATGTATGTAACTTGAACACTAAGAGCTATGGGCCTGCCACTATCTCCCGGTACACTACTTTCAATCTCATCACTTTTTACTTTCATGTTTAAGCGCTTTTTTTTTTTTTTTTAATTTAAAATTTAAAATTTTTACAAGAAATATTCAGTTTTGTTGTTAAGTGTTATTGATATTTCATTTCTCTAATGTTATGATCCAGTAAAAATTGGAAATGGAGCCCCCCACAAGCTGCCATAATCCCTGATCACCATCTTCCAATGCGAAGTTTTGAGGTCAAAAACAGGTAATTTGTTGATGTTTATGGATGAATATTGCAGAAATGTTGAATTTTACTCAATATGTTGTATGTGATGGTCACAATGTGGCTTTTGGTTCTGCCCTTTTATTTTTATACTTTTTAGGATTGTTGATAAGATGTAGAAATAAAGATTAAAGAGTGAACCAGTTCTCCACAGGGACGTCCGAAAACAATCTTGTTGTGGGGAAGTTTAATGTGGCACTTGGTTTTATCCGATTTATTTTGAGTTTGAAATTCGGAGTTGAAGTGTTTGTTGAAATGCAAAACTTGTTTCTTAACTCTAATTGAAGTTTTTTTACCTTTTCTATGCGTTGTGCGGAGGTTTGCAAGTAAAGAAAACATGGTTAATCATCTTGGTCTTTATACAAAACATTTAGTGACTTATTTCTCCGCTTTGCCCTTTTTGGTAAGTCTGTGGGTTACGACATTATCTTACAACTATTTGGTTAAAGGTTTTTGCATGCTCTTGGTAGAGGCTATATTCTTGTGGAGGTATGTTATGGCAGTGTTCTTTCTTGTTTGGAAATGAGAAAATAACTGGATTTTTTTAACATAAAGGCAACTTACAGATTAGTTTTTGTGGGAGTTTGGTTTTTGACTTCTCTTTGGGTGTCATTGTCAGTAGAATAACTGGGTATTTTTTCTCTGTTCATGCACCTAATTGTAGGGGGCTTTTGAGTTAAATCTGTTATATGTTGGAATATATTCTGTTGTTTGAGAGTTGGTTTGATATAAGCAGCTTGTTTTTGTCTCTAGCTTTGAACAATCTTGTTTGATTTTATATAGGACATTTTTTGCCTTTTTGGTTAGGTCTTATATTTCTAGGCACTTGTTCACATTTCATAAGTTTTTCTCTGTTAATATAAATAGTGTCCTATATATTGTGGACAATTTGTTCACTACATTGTAAATCCTTCTTCAATCAATATAAGTTTTTGGGAGTTTCTTACCGAAAAAAAGAAAAAAAGAAAAAAATTCCCTATTCAAAAGTAAAGAAAAGAAAAAGGTTGCATTTATCTATATTTCGCATCCAGAATCACTGAAGTTTTGATTGCAAAAATTTTTATTTTGGAGGGAAAAAGTGTGAATAGACTCATTTTGCCTAGAGTACTAGAATTTTAAGTTATTTTAGCCAAAAAAAAGTTTGAACATGTTTTAACAGATTCTCATTTCGGTGCCAGTAACTGGGGTATCAGATGATTTATGTGTCTGGATGATGTAAAAGTTGACACCAGGATTCTATATCATTTGAACAAGGAGAAACAATTTGTCAGGAATTGTATTTTGATTGAATAAAAATTAATATTGGATTAAGTTGAATTCTTTTGGTCTCCTTGCACAAAGAATTGGTGAAACTAGAGATGTGATTATTGAAACTAAGGCTTACTGGAAATGTGCTTGTTTGTTTTGAAAGGATATTTGCTAATGGGTTTTTTCTTTCATACTCTTACACTGATTGTAGGACATCAACAGAGGATATAAAGTCACTTAGATTGATAACAGCTATTAAAACGCCATATCTACCTGATGGGAGATTTGATCTTGAAGCTTATGATGACCTGGTTAATAAGCAGATAGCAAATGGTGCTGAAGGTTTGATTGTTGGTGGCACAACTGGTGAAGGACAACTGATGAGCTGGGATGAACATATAATGCTTATTGGCCACACAGTTAATTGTTTTGGTGGATCAATTAAAGTAATTGGAAATACTGGAAGCAACTCCACCAGGGAAGCAATTCATGCCACTGAACAGGGTTTTGCTGTTGGTATGCATGCCGCCCTTCACATCAATCCTTACTATGGTAAAACTTCTTTGGAGGGCATGGTTTCTCACTTTGATTGCGTGTTATCCATGGGGCCGACTATTATATACAATGTGCCATCACGAACTGGCCAAGATATTTCCCCGCGTGTGATTCAAACTCTGGCTCAGAGTCCTAACCTGGCTGGTGTTAAAGAATGTGTCGGTAATGATCGGGTTGAGCACTATACAGATAACAGGATTACCGTGTGGAGTGGTAATGATGACCAGTGCCATGATGCTAGATGGGACCATGGGGCTACTGGGGTGGTATCTGTTACCAGCAATCTTGTTCCTGGGCTGATGCAAGAGCTTATGTTTGGAGGAAAAAACCCTTCACTCAATTCTAAGCTCATGCCCCTGGTTGAGTGGCTCTTTCAGGAGCCAAACCCTATTGCCTTAAACACAGCTCTGGCTCAACTCGGAGTTGTGAGGCCAGTTTTCAGATTGCCATATGTACCTCTTCCTCTGCAGAAAAGGGCAGACTTTGTGAATTTGGTAAAGAAAATTGGGAGGGAGAATTTTGTTGGAGAGAAGGATGTTCAGGTTCTCGATGATGATGACTTTATTTTGATTGGTCGATATTAGTTATATTAGTTTTCCCGGTCCAGCGTTTTGCCTAGGTGGTTTCTGTTAGAAATAAAGTTTCATGATATTTTGGCAATTTAACTAGTGTATTAAATAGTTTCTACTGGGAATTTCAGCATGTGTGGGGTGAATCTCTTATGCTTTCTTGCTTGCTGCGGCTGCCTATAGATATTAGTTACAGAATACGATATTACGAGTGTTGGTGTTGTTGATTTTCTTTAGTAACTTATTTGTAGTGATGTTTACTTGTATGTTATACCTCTTATCTTTTATGGTCCTTGATTTTTAGGGTTAAGGGTTATCAAGTAGTTTGAACATTTAGATTAAGGGTGAATTGGCTGACTGGCTTCTGTGTTGCATTTTTAAAGCTTGTTAAAGTTCCCATTTCATTGATAAAAACAATGTCTCTGATCAAACCATACAAAATAAATTTGTAGACATCACTAATTTATACAAAAAACTTTTTCGGTCGGCAAAAGGCTGCCGTATTTGCCGATGATCTATTCATCGGTGTCAGCAACCGCCGGCAACCTATTGTACTTTCAATATTTTTATGATTTTATTAATTTAGTTTTAATTTTAATTTTTTTTTTTTAAATTTAGAATTTAAGCTAATTTCATTAAATCAGTTCTGGGTTTAGGCCCAAATTGAATCAGCCAATCGTTCATATGATTGGGTTGAGCCCTTACACATTCAGCTCTTATTTTCTTTAGTAATTCATTAATTCTCTTCTTATATAACATTTTCATTAAACCTAAACACCAAGTTATTTCAATTTCTATATTGAGATAAATCAACACAAACAAATTTTATAAATTCTAACATAAAATTAACCAACCCTTGGGTGACTGAGTGGTTCGATAAAGACTTTTGGGTGTAACTCAAAAGGTTTTGAGTTCGAATCTCTCCTCAGTTGCTAATAAGAGTTGTCATTGAAGTTCTTACTTAGTCGATAGTTCTAGGGTCTTGAGAGATTAGTTGAGGTACGCGTAAGTTGACCCGAAAACCGTGGGTCATTTAAAAAAAATAAAATTGAACCAATTGTACATATATCAATATTCAAATATTAAAAAGTTTGTTTGTAAAATTAAATAAATTTCAAGTGTTTTTATTTTTTTATTTTTGAAATTCATTCCTAGAAATGTGTTAGATTTTTTTTATATTTAAAAGATATACAAAATATAAAATGATAATTAAATTAATTTTTTAAAAATTATTTAGAATAACATTTTAATAAAAAAAAAGACGTTTATTTTTTCTCCAAACAAACATTTGAATTAGGAAGGTAAAATCTAATGAAAAAATCAAAATACTAAAATGCCCCGCGGCAGAATGAAACGGAAGTCTCACTAGGGGCAATTCCGTCAAATACAGATTCCAACGGTTAATTATCTTTAAATGGTAGGCATGGTTTATTTCTTGGCAACAAATAAATAAATAGAGTTCGGTCTCTTTGTTTCATGAAATTTCTTCTCAATTTAACGCTTCGCTCTCTGAGACTCGATTCTAAAATCAAGAAACATCAAGAACAAGCACCTTCTCGAATCTGAATTTCTCGTTCTTGTGCTCTGTTTTATTTGTTTATATTTCTTTTCTAATTTGTTCCTGCTTTGTTTAATCTGAATTTCTGTGTTTTTGCAGGCTTGGTTTCTTGTTTCCGTTTGATTTTTTTTTTTTTTTTCTATATATCTCTGTAAATTTATGGATGCAGGGCCAATGAATTCGTTTAATAAGATCCACTCAAGAAACCCGCTTCAAGAACGGTTTCATCAGAGAAAAAGCTCCCGGGATAATGTAAGAAAATTTTAGGGATTTTGATTATTTTCATACTTTAATTTCATTATAATGCTTTTTGTTTTGAATTTTCATGAATTCTGATTTTTTGGTTTTAATTTTTTGTGGGTATCTTATTTTCTTTGAATTTAGAGTTTAATATTCAATATTAGTGTCATGTAGCTTCGTGTCTACCATATGTTCTATTAATTGTTCGAAAGGGAAAAGATTACTATGATTATTCTATTTTTTGAACTGTTTTTTCTGTTCAAATGTTAAATTGATATCGAATTCTTAATTCTGTATTTCTTTTTTCAGAATATTCATTAAAAAACTCTTTAATGCATTTCAATCAAAAACGTTTTTTTCTTTGTTATTTAAAACAAGAGATAGAGGCTATTTTCTTATTTGATTTTAAACTAATTTTTAATTTTGTAAGCAAAGATATATATATATTTTATAATATTCTAAATCAGACAGCATATACATATTCCAAATAAGCAAAAACCATGGACGATGCTCGTGTTTTTTGGATTTGTAGTACACACACATGACACTCAGCTCAAGATTCATACTGATAAATTTTTGTTAGCTGAATTTTGTTGGCAATCAAGTAGGAAAAAGAGATTGTTTTGAGTTTCTGATTCAACTTTTGCTTGTTATTGACAGTTGGATAGATTCATACCTAATAGAGCGGCTATGGACTTCGACTATGCTGACTACATGCTGACAGATGGAAGAAAGGGCAAAGAAAATCCAGCTGTGCCATGCTCTCCATCAAGAGAGGCTTACCGGAGGCAATTGGCAGAGGCGTTGAACATGAACAGGACACGAATATTGGCGTTCAAAAGCAAGGCACCTACAGTGGCTGATCCGTTTTCAAAGTATTTTTCTTCTCCTGTTTATCAGTCCAAACCTGTCAAGCCCAGACGGTACATTCCTCAGGTATGTGTTTATCCTACTTTTACATCAGTTTTTTGTTCTTTGAAGAATTATGATGACAATTTGATGATCAAGAATATTTGGACCTAATATTAGGAAACATATGAAATTTGAACTGTAATTGTAGTGATGGTGGGCTAGGCAAGACATGGATTGATAGAAGTGGTTGTGAACATATGATTTTGAATGCAATTTTAGTCATTTAGGAACGTTATATGATCTGTATTATTGAAAATCCATGAGTTTTACTGATTGATGGTAAATTTGGGCAAGATGACATATAAGGGATGGTACAAGTGTCTATAGATTTATGAATTAATCAACGTTGGTTGGATTTGGTTGCTAATCATTTTTGTTATTTCTGGTCTTATGCTTTAACTCTATGCGAAATTATTGTTTTTAATATTTTGTACTTGCTTATACAGTCTTCTGTGAGGACATTGGATGCCCCTGAGATTGTAGATGATTTCTACCTGAATTTGCTAGACTGGGGTAGTAGCAATGTGCTGGCCATTGCTCTGAGCAACACAGTGTATCTCTGGGATGCTTCAAATAGTTCAACTTCAGAACTTGTTACCATTGATGATGAAAATGGGCCAGTTACAAGCATTAGTTGGGCTCCTGATGGGCAGCACATAGCCATCGGCTTGAATAATTCACAGGTCCAGATATGGGATTCTGCTTCCAATAGACTGGTTTGTGATTTGTTCTATTTGCTTTTGATTGTTCTTGAACTAGTATATTTTGGTTTTGAATATGCTGATGACTTCTTTTAATCTGTTTCATTGGTTTTCTTTGTATTTCTTTTTTCTTTCTTTTTTGCAGTTAAGAACATTCAGAGGTGGTCATAGATTACGAGTTAATTCACTGGCTTGGAACAATTACATACTTTCTACTGGAGGAATGGATGGTAAAATAATCAACAATGATGTGAGGGTCAGAGAACATGTCATTGATACCTATAGGGGACATCAGCAAGAGGTTTGTGGACTCAAATGGTCGCCTTCAGGCCGGCAGTTAGCAAGTGGGGGAAACGATAATCTCCTTTTCATATGGGACAGTTCCATGACCTTTGCAAATTCACGAAACCGGTGGCTTCACAGACTAGAAGACCATACGGCTGCAGTAAAAGCCCTAGCTTGGTGTCCCTTCCAGGGGAACTTATTAGCCTCTGGTGGAGGTGGGAGTGATCGATGCATTAAGTTCTGGAACACCCACACAGGTTCTTGCTTGAATTCAGTGGATACTGGCTCTCAGGTTTGTGCTCTTCTTTGGAGCAGACATGAGCGTGAATTGCTTAGCTCTCATGGATTTACAGAAAATCAGCTCACCCTTTGGAAATACCCATCAATGGTGAAGATGGCAGATCTCACTGGCCATGCCTCTAGGGTTCTTTTCATGGCTCAGGTACACTAATATCACATTGATTGAACATTACCTTCTAGATAGATCATTTTTGAGGAATGTTGGTTTGTCATTTATGTTCTAACTATTCCATCTATTGCATGATTGTTTTCTTTTTCCAGAGCCCTGATGGATACACAGTGGCATCTGCAGCCGGAGATGAGACTCTGAGATTCTGGAAAGTCTTTGGAGCCCCTGAAGAGGCTAAACCTGCGCCTAAAACAAACCATGAGCCATTCTCTCATTTAAGCCTCCGTTGAAGATCAAGACAAAAGTGGTCTAAGAATGTACCATGAATAATTTATTATGTTTATACATTTTCTGGTATAATATATATAGTCATAGTTTAGAGTATTCTTTGGACTTAGACAAGTACATAATTTTTTTTTTTTTCGTGCAGTATTATTAAATGGTTTATTTTATTTAATGAAGTTTCAATTAGAGATCAATTAATAGTGGAGGATCTTGTAGACATAGAAAGCAATGTTTGAACTAATTGAAATATAATATTATGCATGTAAATATATTTTTATAGAGTCCTACTCAAGTCCAGGTCATCATATGAAAATCATATTCGCATCTTATACTTTAATTTATTTTCTTTTTGTATTCATCATGTGTTTTATGTAAATTAAATATATAGCTTTAAATAAAAAGAAAATGGTCTCACTGTGACAACAATTTGATTGCCGGTAGCGGCAAGAAAATATAATTATAAGAGGCAGGCAAATACAATATTGTGCACTTCAGAAAATATAATTATATAGTTTCTATGTGGCACTTCAGAAATAAGCTAAGCCTCAAATACAATATTGAAGATATTTTTGTAGAGGAGGCCTTTGAATTGTATTGTGAGGGAAAGGTTGCATGTATTATGGACCCTATTGCGATCATGTTTTAAGCTACTGGAAAGCATGCTGGGAATGGCCCAATAGGGTTTTGTTTTTAAAGTATGAAGACATGATGAAGGATACTGTATTTTACGTGAAGAAATTGACTGAGTTTACGGGCAAGGTGCAATGGAGAAAATTGTGGAGCTTTGTAATTGTAGTTTATCTATATTTGCTAGCTTCTAATTATAATCAAATCTTTATTGTCATCCACATATATATACTATGTGAGAGTGAGACCCTTTTTTTTTTTTTTTTTTTTTTTAATATTATTTTAAAGCTACATATTTTTTGAAGAACTTAAATAATATTTTATAGTCATTGCATGGAATGTGCACTAGGATTCTCTAACAACAGAAGAATAAGAAAGTTATTGTTCATTTATGAATTCATTTCTTGTTTTTCTTTTTTGATTCCTCTCATAAAATGTGCAGAACAAGAGCTGACTCTTATTAATAATTAACAGAACATTATCTAAGTAGTTGAAATAAAAAAAAAAAAATTGTTTGCCACCCACACCTGAACTATATAAACCCAGATACTATATCGAAACATAATTTCCATATACCTGCACCCAAAAAATAGCACCAAGACATCATGATTCCTTACAAAGAACAAAAAAATAACCCACATGTCTGTTACAATTACCATAAGAAATTCTACAACCAATCATTGTAAAAGCAATCGACAAAGATGACCCTGCTTTACAGGCAATGCAGTTAACGTAGTTTTACTAAAACATCGTATTTCATTAATCTATTGATTTCATTATTTTTAGTCATATAGAAAATGATATTATACAAAAATGGTTAAACGTACAACTAATAACAATAAGATAGTGGTTTATTCCGCAACAGTTTTAACAATAATGGTTACCATATACTGACTATGCCGACCATGTGCATCTTTAGTTGTTAATAGTTTTCTAATGCACAAAAACAAAATGCATTTTAGGATCCATTTAACTGAGTCATATTTACACACTTACTTATTCTTAATTGCTTAGTCATAAGGTAATGGTATTGTGATTTTCAACTATGGATTTTTTTTTTTTTACTATTACAAATCTTGTGCTTCGAAACCATTACTTACCATACATTTACAGATGCAACTCTGAACAAACAAGCAAACATAAACAATATACAAAGAATGGACATTTCGAAACAAACACACAACTGCCAACAATCACCCAGTGAGACTTTCAATTTTGAAGACACTTGCAGAAGTAGAAATAAACAAGTTTTGCTACTACTAGGAAAACTGTGTTCTTCATTGAATATGATACATATATGGGATTAAAACTACTGATTGCAGTTTGCCAAAACTAAACATGCAAGCATATATCACAATGTCGTTGCTCTGCTTACTATACATGACAACAAAGGTATACAAATTCTAATGAAATTAGTAAAACTTCCTAATCTTTTCTACAAACTGAAATATTGCAGGGAGAATTCAAGTCCCTGACTCCAACTGCAATAATTCTCATTAAAACAAATATTTGGGACTTGCAACAGGAGAATGAAAATCGTATGCACTGGGATGATTAACGTCCCCAAAAACATCACGTGTCATAGATGTAACGTGGATTACCAAATAGTCTGTATGAAATTTAATTTTAGTAAGTTTCTTGTAATTTCTTGCACATGTACAAATTTAAATGCTTTTTGGTTAATCTGAAAATAAATTAAAACTCACTAATTATCTACGATTGATCCAAATATTTATAACTTATAAAGAAAAATTGATCAAAAAATTATAATGATCAATAAAACGTAAACAATATTAAATAAAAATATTAAACACCAATGATTATGACATTTCAAATAATTAAACATGTTCCAAACAACATCTAAATATTGTTCCTATGACATATAAAATAATTTTCCATTCCATTATTCATTAGATTAAATTCTACCCGAACCACAACAATTTTGGAAACTCGCTTGCTGAACCAATGTTAACTATTTATTACACTTTCTTTTAATGTGCCACAACCAGTGTTGCTACCATTTTGTATCTTATCGCGTAATAAGTTGTCAACACTTTTTCAATCAATGTGTCTATCTGTAACTAAATGTCTGTTAATTTTCCCAAAGCAACTTTTATATTGTGTGATACAGTACCCTAGAAATTGTTCAAACATTCTCGCTAAGAATGAGTTCAATTTATTCCCTCTGTTTGTTTCCTTTTCTATTTACATAAAACAGTCAAGATATTTCTAATGTGAAGTAACAAAATTTTAATTACAGAACTATATACTGGATAAAACATAAACAATATTTAATTTTTAATAGATATTTAATAACAATATTAACAAAATTGTTTATAAAATGTTAAAAAAAGAACATATTCAACAAACATCAATCAAAATATATTATAATCTTAATTTAAAAAAATTAGAAATACCCATTTCTTTACAGATTAAAAAAAAAAAAACTTTTGTAGCATTATTGATCAAATAAGATCGAAGCCGAACTAATGCATGTTTCATTACCATATTGCCGAACCACAATTAAAAAATTAATAACTATATTATGACATCATCATATCATCTTTGACTTTGATACTTGACAAAAATTTATTGTCCTTTCTTTAAAAAGTGTATCGATAAGATTTATTATTAGTAAATCACAATGTTTATTTATGATATAACTCAACACTTGCCGAACCATCATTACTGCCTAACTACTATGTTGCACACTTAACAAAATATTTATTACGGTTTTTTTTTTAATATTGTACAGATATCTACTAACGTTTCATTCATATTCCTTATCCAAATAATTATTAACACTTTTTCGATCGACACGTTTATTTATTACCAGTTGTCTGTTCGTATTCCACCTTTTCGTATCCTATTCTCCTATAAATATTGTTCGATCATCAATCAATCATTTACTTTCTTCAGAAATATACACTTTAATTGTTCATTTCTTCTCCCACCTTAATTCAAAAATGGTTGACAAAACATCACAACCAAAGAATTTGCAACAAATACTAGCAACGACCTCAACGACAATAATTCTCCACCGAGGCAACCAAAAGGTATGAATGTTCCACATCTTTTGTATCCTAATTACAAAATGTCAAACAAACGATGATACATATTTGCGGGAATGTAAAAAATTAAAATTTTTTTTTGATATGTCAAGAGTTTATCTCATAATTATATTTACACATTCATGAATTGTTTCCATATATTTATAAAATTTGATTGTATTTGTTTTTGTAATTGGTTTAGACATTTTTCAGGGAACGTTGGAATTGAGGGAGATTTTCAAAAAGGTTGAAATTAATCTGGATGATCTACATACTGCTAGAGATAAATTCAGAGAAGTCATTGACCAGATGTTAGAAATTATGAAATCTGCCATGGATTATTTATAACATAAACAAAAGAGTATGCATATGCACTAGAGGACTGAACAACTTAAGAAAATAAAATAAACTCTACATGTCTAAACCCACTTCACAATATGAAAAAGCGTGTACTTATTTCTTTTATAATAAAAGAATTATTCTCTATATTCAATTTTATCTTGATTTTGGTGTTACTCATTATTTGATGAAAATTGTTCACCATCATAACATGTTAGTTTTGATTTAATCTTCCATCTTCACACATTGGATGAGTATTATAATAATTATATAAATACATTACATAGGCATTCCAAAAATCTAACCATTTAAAATAAAAACTTATAAAGATGGAAGTTAGTCTGTTTTCAAACCTGGGCTGGAGAGGATCCTATACTGTGAAAAAAAATTTACCAATCAATGTCAAACTTGTAAATGACTCAATATAAATTTTAAGTTTAAATAATTGATCTTAAATATTAATTGATATTAAATTATAAAGCTACAATTATTAATTTTATCTTAACACAACTCATTATATATATGAGTTATATTATTCTAAAACTGGTATGATTTAAAAATTATCATCTCTAATCATTACTTTATTATATTAGAATAAATTTGTTTACAACTTATTTAAAAATATTAAATAATATACCAGCGCAACACGCAAGCCCCATGTCTAGTTGAACATAAATAGGATTACTTCGAGGGAACTCGAGACCTCCGTTAAAAGAGACATTAATATTTTCTTTGATAATTCCCTCATTTTCTTTATTCCAATTGTCACTATTTATAATAAATACAATTGGTAAAAAATACATAAAATAAAATAAATCTAATCAACTAAGATAAAACTTATCCATATCCTAATCTAATTATTTAAATTATTGAGATAAACCCAATATTAATTAACTATAAATCCATAAGAAAACTCCTAAAAAATATAAAAAATACAATTTAATTAACATTTACCCATTATCGAAATGGGTATGTAACAATTTATTTTACATATCTAATGTAATAATACTCTTATGTGTACACTTTATGAATAAATCATTAGATATGGTTAACATAAAATATTTTTGAAGTTACTTTTTTTTTTTTTTTTTATGATCATCAATTTGTTAATAAATTATCTAATATACTTATTTGCTTGGATTTAGTTTTATCGATGCAAAATAAATCAATATATATTTGTAAAAAATGTAATTATAACAATTTAAAGGATAAATTAAATCGATTCTAACA